CACACATGTGTGAGAAAAAGCTGGTAACATGAAAATGTGCACGCACATTGCACAGACACAACCCAAATTAATACCCCCCCGCCCGGAACGCAGATCCGGCGGGGGCTAAAAATATGATGTGCACCTATACCTCAATATGCACGATGATGATACAAATTTTAAATGAAATTACCTTGTTCATCTTTCACGAGTGCTACCGGACACATTTAAGTATCAAAATTTAGCAATTTTGAGGACCAAAATGGTTGTTACATTTGAATGTGATCAGTAAAAGCATGTTTGAGAAATGGCTTCTGTCAGACAGACAGACAGACAGACAGACAGACAGACAGACAGACAGACAGACCGAACAAACAGTCAAACCCCCAAATTAATAGTCTCTGATTTTGGACTTTGCCAGAAACGCGGACCAATCTGTGAAAGCAATTCATAGGCTCTGTAAGAATAAGAGAAGTTAGATCTATAATCCCACAGTAATCATCAACTTGTTACTTGATCAGAACAGAAACAACAACTCAGTACTAGAACCGGATGGAAACTCATTATTAGATCTACCCAGTATGACCGTAATTAGCAACTCATTACTAGGTCAGAACAGAAACAGTATGCATGTTTTAAGTTATAAATTTAAAGTTTCAAAATGAAAAACCTCTCCTGGAATATACAGCAATAACTTACCTCAGAAAAATGTTCTAATTTCTTCAATGCTAATATCAGTTGGTGTTTCAGTTGCTCTTCTTCTGCTGAAGTACTGACACTTGCAACACTTTGTTTATCATCACCAGTTGTCAGTAACTGATCTAATGGCAACATAGAGGGGCTGGTAGGTATGGGTGTATGGGGCACATGAGCTGATTCCAAATCTGGATGTTCCATCCCCTAGAAATGACAAGAGAGAAAATGCAAATTTTAACAACAGTTCTTATTTTGGAAAAGCTGGTAACCCTGAAAAGTGCAGTTCAGTTCGTCAAATATTTTGTCTTGACGTATTCATACTCAGCAGCTATATGCATGCACCTAGACCATGCTGGGTTAAAGTCTTAGCAACAGCAAGCTCGGTTAACTGGAATGAAAATTCCCCATTACCATGTAGAAATAAATTCAGGACATGAAGCAGAACTTGACGCAAAGTTCAAAGCAAAGACATTAAATAGTGGACTGTATGACATTGACAAATGAAAGAAGCATGAACACTGATGCAGAAGTGACAGCAGCTGACAATCGAGTCCATGTTAGAATATGGCCAGGGGTTAGCAACGCAATTTCTAAGAAAAAGTTCTACAAACAACTTTGTTAAGGTCTAGAGAAATTGCTAAAAATTTTACAACAAATTAGAAAACAAAGACTACAAGTGTGTGAATGTTTACATGAAAAAAATCATTTGAAGAATAATTGAAATGACTGTGAACAGTTC